TAAATAAATAAAACCTACCACCTGTAATTTTTTCAGATGACGTTTTTCATTTAAAAGCTTTGTAAGACAAAGAACTTGTTTGTGGGGGAGAGGGAATCTGGAAAGAGCTAAAGAGGGCAGTTCTGACCATCCCAGGTCGAAAGAGACTCTCGATTGGTGCAGACTGTCATGGACATGTTAGTGAAGGAAACGGGTGATTAAAAAGTGATGTGTAAATTTGGTATCCTGGCAAGTTGGAGGAACAGATGGTGGTGGACCTTGCCAAAAGTATGGCTATGGCTGTGGAGAACATTTTCTTCCAGAAGAGGCTGGAAATCAAGAAATCAAAAATAACTGTTGGGGGAATGAAGATTGAGAAGACAAAGGCAGAGCAGAGAACCATGTAGTGGAAGCTGAAAAAGGAAGGGTGTCATGCAGCTATTCAAGAAAAGAGAGGTGACATGGCTTTCGGTGGATAGGGGTGGTTTACAGAAGACTGTACCACGACAGCCAAGGTGATCCAAGAGACAGTCAGGAGAGTACTTGGAATGTGTTCTGGTAGGAAAGGAGAGAAGGAGACTTGGGTGGGGACCCAGAAAGTGCAAGAAAGCATATCAGAGGTTAGCCAGGAAGTGGGTCAGTGAGAGCACTGAGGAGAGGAGACAGGAATACAAGGAGACGCAACATCGGGCAAAGGAGGTGGTGGCAAAGGCCAAAAGAAGAGGCATTTGATGACGTCTGTGATGTCGGACAGTAAAAAATAGGTGAGAAAGATCTTTACAGATTGTTCAGACAAACAGAGATGGAAAGGATGTACACCAGGTTAGGGGGAATAAGGATAGTGATGAAAAAGTGTTGACTGGTGCATCAGGGAACGTTGTTTATTTATTTATTTCATTGGGACAATGCACATTAATCGACACAAGAATAAAATGTGTAAATGTGCCAGATTTAGCATAAATGCTAGTTTTCAGCCATAGTCCCAAGGCTGGTTATTAAAATAGCACAGTGAGACACATAAAGGTTTAAGACCACTATGACAGAAATAAAAACCAAATCGGAAAGGCATCATAAAAGAGACATTACAAACAGTTGCAGTACTCAATTACAAGACAAAAGACCAGGACAGACAAATCACTTAGAGGTACAAATTGATTGGCCAGAAGCCCACTGGAACGGGCTGGAGTCTGGAAATGGTGTGTAATGGGTGCATGTCTGATATATTTTTAGCCAATGTTTAAATTTTTTTTTTTTTTGGGGGGCGGAAAGTGGAAAGTTATCACAGTCTCTAAAGTGTATTAGCAACTTATTCCAGGATTGCGTTCCTCTGTGGAAGTGCATTGGTTTCCTGTCTAGGACTTTAACTGCCCTTTTGAACTTCTGGAGTGAGTTAGTTGGCTGCACTGACAGCAAAGGGGCCAAATAAGATTGCTCGCCACACTTTTCATATTTTTATTTCTAAAAATAAAGTTTTAAATCTCAAATCTGACTGTCTAGGTAATATGGACCAAACTCTCTCTAGAACAGGGGTGTCAAACTCATTTCACATTGTGGGCCACATACGGCCTCGGTAGATGTCAAGTGGGCCGGACCATTAAAATTATACCATACTCTGCTATAAATAACCAAAATAATATGTCTTTCCTTTGTTTTGGTCTAAAGAAGCACAAGAACATTTGGAAAAAGTTGAAATGAACATATCTTTTACGAAACATTTCATGAAGCACCTTAGATTTCCTTAGACAAATGTGCAATTTACTTTTATCATTCACATATATGCATTGCAACTGATCCCACTGATTGTACAAACTTTAACAAGTATTTGGTCTTGAAAAATATAGTAATGAACTTTAAGATTAAACGAGATTTATAAAGAAAGGAATTTTTAAACCATTTACACGAGCATATAACATCTAAATTGAATTCCTGCCTACACCTTACAAACTAAGGAGAGTGCTATTAAATGTGTAAAGAATAAAGTATTCACGTCCTTGATAGCGTCTGCTGTGTTGGGTCTGTCTCAGTGACAGACTGAGGCTGCTCTTGTCTTCTTCTCTGATCAAAACAATGTTGTCTTTTACTCTGATCAAAACAGTGTGTCCCCTAGCGGATACTCCATGAGTTGCACCTTATTAAAATATTCCGTGTCTTTTATGTATTTTTTCACTTTTAAATTATCCTGCGGGCCTGATCGAACCTCCTTGGGGGCTGGTTCTGGCCCGCAGGCCGTATGTTTGAAACCCCTGCTCTAGAAGATCCCATGGGGGACATGGACAAATGCTTAACTCCCCAAAGCACATGTAGACCAGTATGGCAAACTCCTATGCACCCTCATAGACCCAAAGGAGGAGCAAAGGATGCTTCATGACTACTGAATGGAGCATCTTTCATGAAATGGATGTGAATGATGGCGCTGAGTCTGTCACTGATTGCATTCAGTTCTGCGTGGTCAATGTCATACCTCATAGAGAAATAAATATATACCCAAACAATCAACTTTACAGAACCAAAAAGATGAAAGATTTCATAAATTGTAAAAAGAAACTTAACTGCATGCTTAGGGATGCGAGGAAAAGCTATAAGGATACAATTGAACAGAACTTTCATGCTGGGAATTCTAAGAAGTTGTGGGATACTATGAAGGCCATCACCAACATGACCACTGGCAAGACATGTTTGAGTACTCCGAATGATATGCAAAAAGCAAATGAATTAAATGACTTTTTTTTTTCGATTTGAGAACCATGATTTCTCTTCTGAGTGTGATAATGTACGTATTAAAACCTATATGTGTCGTCGACCAGGATGCCAGAAAGCTGACTGAACCCACCAAAGTCCCTTTTCAAACACGGTAGTTCCAAGAACGCCACAGGGCCAGATGGCATTTTCACGTTCCTTCTTAAAATCTGTGCGGAAAAGCTGACACCGGCGCTGTGTCCTGTCTTTCAAAAATCTGTAAATCAGCACACCGTTCCCACCTGCTGGAAGAAATTAGTTTTAATACCGGTACTAATTAAAAAAAAAAAAAAAAAAAAAAAAAAAACCCTATCCAGGAAAATAATGATTTTTATCCAGTTGTGCTTACATCAAATATAATGTAATAAACAAATGTAATAAAATGTTTTGAGAGAATCATAGTGTCCTCACTCAAGAAGATCCTTTTCAGTTTGCCTAAAAGTGGGGGCGTGCCACAGATGATGTAATTAATACTACAGGTATTAGTCATCTGGTCACTTAACATCAGGCAGACCCCAAAGTTTTTGTTCGACTTTTGTTTGTCGATTTTAGCTCAGCGTTTAATACGCTAGAGCCACATCTACCAATTGAGAAACTGTCAATCCTTTTATTTTGAAATGGTTTATGTCCTTTCTAACGAACCATGCGCAGCATGCCAAAGTTAACAATGTCCTCTCTGGGTTCAGACACTCCAGCACTTTTGCCCCCCAAGGATGTGCCAGCTCCCAAAGGAATTTTTTTACTTTATATACCAACGATCCATCCTAATAATTACATCATCAAATTTTCAGATGACGCCACCATCCTGGGCCTGCTGCATAAAGATTACAGTTCAGCAGCTTACCATTTTGAGATCTGTAATTTTGAACCATTACAAACATTCTTTTATTCCTACATCTATTAAGATAATGAATGCAAATATATCGGTGAGTGTGTACTGCACTGAATTGATTAATTATCGGTGATTGCTTTTTTTCACGGGATTGTGGTGTGTGTCGCCCTGATGTGTGTCTGATACAGTACTGCCAACTGTAAACTGCAGAACCAGTTCAGTATCCATGACAAATTTCCCTTTGGTGACATTAAAGTATTTGAAATGAAATGAACAATTCAATTTGCAATATTTAAATTTGTATGACCCAAAGGAATAGCACCAGTCAAAATTTGGGAAACACCTTCAAATTAGAATGGTCTCAAACACAATCGACGTCAAGAAATTCAAGTTGACAATTCAACAGCTGTGAAGTGAAAGTCATTCCACGTCAAAAAAACATCATCCAAATCATAAAGCTGACTGAGAAATGACCAAGATTTGCAAAGCTGTTATCTCGGAAAATGGTACACACTTTGAAGAATCAAAATGATCAAATAATAAAACATTCATCCATCCATCCATTTTCTGATCCGCTTATCCTCACAAGGGTCGTGGGGCCTGCTGGAGCCTATCCCAGCTGTCTTCGGGCAGTAGGCGGGGGACACTCTGAACTGGTTGCCAGCCAATCGCAGGGCACACAGAGACAAACAACCATCTGCGCTCACACCTAGGGACAATTTATACTTAGAGCGTTCCATTAACCTGCCACGCATGTTTCTGGAATGTGGGAGGGACCTGGAGAAAACTCACGCAGTCAGGGGGAGAACATGCAAACTCCACACAGGAAAGCCAGTATCGAATGCTGCACCTCTGCACTGTTAAGCCGTCGTACAAATCCGTCGACCACCGGGTTTGATGATTTAAGTATGACACTACAATTAAGACATGAAAAAAATTGAATTAGAGGATAACCTTTGCCTGGTACTGTACTCCCATACCAAAGGGGACCTTTCCATCATAACTTCAGGCAAAGGCCTATTTGGGGCGTTTAATCTCTAATCATGTTTAGCCAAAGTTTTTCCTTTCCATTACAAGCACAATACAAGTTAATAAAGGAGGTAAACTATTTTTTTGTGATATTTCTTTTGTTTTGCGCCAAGTTATCAAAACGGGTATTGTAAAAAAAAAAACAATGAAGAAATGCAATTTTACTTTTGCACTTGCATTTCAGAGTCTTTTCTTAAAAAGTGCTCAGTACTCCTACAGTACGGTGTAAATTATTTTTATTTCTATCATCGATTTTGTCGATTGACCTGTTGATTAAACTTGTGAAACTTTGTAACTGTAGATTTTTGTTTAACTGAATCCTTGGGTTGCTCATTTTGTGAACGCGACAGCATTGTGATTAAACGTGGGGCCATGGAACTAATACAACAACTTGCGTATGTAAAACTGCACACGCCTAGCTCAACTACGCATGTAGTCCGAAAGCAAGTCGGTCCCGAAGTGTTTCGTTTCTGTGGGGCGTGATTATCCACTTCTCCTACTTCCTTTCTCATGTGCCAGTTTTTCCTCTCCAGCTACCTCATACGTGGCTGCTGGAGGAAAGGGGGAGAAAAAAAGCTGTGCTCCTAGAAGGCAGCTGCGGCCGGACCTTTCCTGCCTTCGGCTGCCGGTGGGGATCCTGTCTGGCGTACGGGGCAAGGCAGCGTGCAGTAAAATTGGCCTGGATGGCAGGGATACTCTGGTGCAAAGACTGCTTAAACCATAAGGTATTGTAAGTGTAAAATCGATTGGGTGCCACGTCACTAACTTGCAAGTGATGCTTGTGACAGTACCGCGCACTGATTGAACGTGTCGCAGCTACTGACTTTAGCGTGCAAGTGTTATTATTGTGCTAACGTTAGCTTGCTAATTTAAGTGCATGGGTCGGATCTAGTTTAGACGGACCTTGACAGATAAATAAAATTAAGATAGCACTCATTTGGCGCAGTGGATGTTTGGTTAAATATGTTTAGTTTGAGTTCTTACGTATTATTTGATGAAGTATCTGTCTGCAGTATGTTATGTAATCTTTCCCTGAAACTCCTTTGCGGTCGATACAACGTCAGACAGTGATGAGAGCAGTCAAGTTGATTTTATTAGCATCTTAAGTAAATGTATGTCGGATCAAATTAAAGTATTTTCTTCACCCCTAAAAGTTTGAACGAGATGTTTTTTCATTAAAAAGTAGTGCGGAAAAAAATGCCACACAGCTTGTGTACCAATTGCTTTCATAGAAATTTGCCCCTAAAAGTAAACTGCGTAAATTATTACTATTCCGACTCCATATTCAACAACAAACTACTGCACGGGTACTTGTACATCCCGTAGGCCTCACAAATTTTCTTCAAAGCAAACAGTTTTAAAATAACTGCTTTGAAAATAGAACTGAAACGTAAGATGTGGATACAATCAAGTTGAGCATGTCAACATCCCGTCAGTCATCCATTTACAGCCCTTATACACCCTTTAACACTCTTGTTAACTTCAATTTACAAACATGATAGAAAATTACATCGTACCATCAAAACAAATGCAATTACTCTAATTATGCATACATAAATATGCATCTGTGTAATAGTTTATGGAAAAATACATATTTAAACCAAAATATGTAACATTTTGTTCTGTTAATTCTTGGTACACGTCCCTCAGATTTTTGTTACTGTTTTAACTGCTTCAAACAGGTGACTGAGGGCTTTGCCGTATTGCCTGATATTCAAACCATGGTATTTATTGAATCCCTTGACAGTACCCGTGAGTATAAAATTGTAATAATGATAATGGTTAGATAAAAGTTATTTCTGAATGGGCTATTTTCTGTCCATGTGAAAGATAAATATTTCTATTTAATAGGATCAGAGAGTATCATATTTATTCCTTAAATTATATGATATTTAACACGTCCACTTTGTCTTTCATGTAATGAAATCAATTTAACAGATTAAAAACATAGCTAACCTGATTTTTTTTTTTAAAAACTACAATTTTTGAGGCAAATTATTGTGTAGCTGTAAAAATGCAGTACTCCATGGTGCAAATCCCATTGCTGATATTGTAAATATTTTTATATATTTTTGGCCTCAATCTCCTCGTTATGGCTGACATCGGCTGTAAAGCTTTTTCTGTTAGCGGGTGCTAATGTGGCTGATCGATACCATTGACATGGAAACGTGGTACTTAAAAAATACAAATTACAATCGCCATTCATTGGTTATATTTTCCCAAGCAAATATGATGTTTAATGAAATACCTATCAGTAATTGAAAAAAATCGCCAAAAACGTTAACTGCCTTTGACATGTAGAGCAGCTCTCTTGTCTCAAGTTTTCCAAGTTTATAATATCTCCAAGAGTCATCAGCGAGCCTCTGTCTTTTCAGACTGGTAACTGATTTTTTTTTAACTAGCATACATCGCCTGTGCAACTGTTTATTCGTTTTTCCAATACAGTCATACCTCGGTTTTCGACCATAATCCATTCCAGAAGGCTGTTTGAAAACCGATTTGTTCAAAAACCGAAACCACGCTCTTTTTTTAAAAAAAAAATCTTTATTGAAAATCTGCTCACAATGGAACGCTACACGAAGAAGCATCACTTCCTCGTGTAAGGAAGGCGAGAGGAGTCAAATGGTGCATTCAAATGCGCTCAGTTTGGTCGAGAACCGATTTTCGGTCGTCATCCGAGGCATAAAAAACTAGAAATCTTTGGTCGAAAACCGATTTGGTCGAAAACAGAGACGTTCGAAAACCGAGGTTTGACTGTATAGGCATCATAAGGAGGTGAGGCACACTTGTATTCTGGTCCTGACTACAACATATAAAACAATACAATACATCAGAACATTTCATATGCTAACAAGGAACTATCATCCTACTAATCACATTATGACAGAGTATTCCCCTATTTCTCTTGCTTTTTCCCATAGTGACTGATTTTCTGCACCATGTTAGACTGCAATATTGTTTTCGGTCTGAACTTTTTCACAAAATAAAGGATTGAGAATTGAATTTCCATTTGTTGTGCTAAACTACTGCATATATATTGCTGTCGTTACAGAATTACCAGTTACATGGGTTCTTTGGCCCATGGGACAGATGAAAGTTGAACGCGGTCGGAGGCCCACCTGGGCTGTATCTGCTCTGTTAATCTTAGTCACTCTGCTGATGCTGCCCTCTGAGGTGGCATCAGGCCAGAAAATTACTCAAACAACCATGGCTCACGCAACAGCTACGGCTGCAAGATCAGGTCCTAACTTCACTGATGACCTTCAAGGCCTCCAGGCCCTAGCAGACTTCCTAGCTAGTGAGCATGCTCATATTTGGGTCTTGTCCCTTGTGGGCTCAGTTGTTGTAGGCCTGAGTGGAATTTTCCCCTTGCTCGTCATCCCAATCGAAGCTGGAGCAGCCCTGAAAACCGAAGGTAGGTCGTGTAAGATGAATTCTTATCAGATTTTAATGTAGGTAGCAACATGCATGGTTTACAGTATTTTGCAAAATGTGTCATGTGATCTGAAAACCTTTTCACTGTTGCACTTCGGTTGTCTGCATATGCCCAAAGAGAAATGAACCAATACCACTTTTTAGACAAGAGTATGAATACAAGTACAGCACAGTACTTATATTTGAGGATTCGACAAGACCTAGTATTGATACTTGATAATGCCCTTTTCACTTACAATCATTCCATTTCACGATAATTGTCGCACCTGGTGTCGATTCCAAAAAAAAAAGGATCCAATTTTCTATCTTTATGATTGAAGCCTGAAATGTGGCAAAAGGTCAAAAAGTCCAAGGGGGCCGAATACTTTTTCAAGCCACTGTACCTAAATGCTTACAAAACCTAGTTTACACACATTGTGTGGGACTTAAACATGACTTCAAATGGGAAGAACTATTCTCAAGAATAGTTGAATCACCACAAAACACTCAGACACACACTTTGCCTATGTTTAGCTGTCTGTAACATTCTGCATAATGACTGTGATTTGGCTACCACTGTTTTTGTCTTTGCGAATTTCCTGACATTTTTAGCCCCTTTTTTTAACTTGCCTATCAACATGGGCACAGCATTGGAAACTATGAACAGTCACTGTGAAACAGATGACATTGAGCTGGTTGCAATTCCCTGTACGCAGTGACGGTACACAAACAGAAGATGAGGCTAAGTCAAGATAGAGAGAGACCTGGTCATGTGTGTGCACATATGACTACATAAGTACAAATAGTTAATCTCGTCTGCACTGTGCTTTGATAACACTGGTCAGCAGCTAATTTCACTCAGAGATGGCTTTATGTGTCTCTAAATGTATTCGTGACGGTGATTTCAAAAAATGCCTTTGCTTTTTTATTTTTTTTTTATTTTTTTATACTGCATCCACTTTTTGACATTTTTATTTATTTGTTTAGTTTTTCAGTTTGACCTATAAAAGCTTGCACAATATGGAATTCACCATGCATTGTAATTTATAGCTATGACCTTACCGGAAAAAAACAAACCCCACCTGTTGCTGGACTTAACTCTTAATTTGTAAATAGGACTGAATATATGACTACATTACATGTGAGGATGATCATTATAATGAAAACCTGATGTGCTTGATTAAAAATATTAGAATCAGTGCAAAAATGTATTCTCCAAAATTTTACTTGCATCTTTCATTAAACGAAGCAAAAAAAAAAAAAAAGGAAAAATTTGTTGACCAGTGTTATCAGACGCAAGCTACTGTAAATCACCTTCACGCTTGTGACCTTTTCTGTTTCCCCTCCAATCGTACCACGCTTGTATTTTTGCCCTTTGGTTTTCAAGTGCGATCTGACAAGGGGAGCTGCAAAATAAGAATAATAATGTGGAGAGGAAATAACTTGACAGATCTCTCAATCCTGTGTTTAAAGGCTGTCACTTGGTAATTTGAAATTTCACCTCCTTCCAAGGGGTGTTTTGTCGGAATTTTAGTTCTTGAAAACAAACTCCTTTGTTTCATTGGCTGTATGTTTTTGGTCAGTCAGGCTGAAAGATCCATTATTGCCCCATTTTCTGTGGTCCTAACTGCCTTAAACCTTTCAGTAAGCTCCTAAATTGTTCTGTTTTAGCTTAATGCAGATCGAAATTGAAAGACGCCCTTTTTCCCCATTTGTAAGTGATAAAACAATTCTTTTCCTTACGCTACGTGTTGGTAAACTGTTTCAATTCATTCATTTTCATCCACGAGCCAGCGATGCTCATCTTAAATGAATCCGATTTTACTCATTCAAACGATGATTGAGTTTGTGAAGAGAATGAAAGATAATCAAATGAAATGATGTTCATTTTAGATCCTGCTGCATCATTAATGTCACACTTTTGTTATTCTCAGCTGGACACCAAAAGCTAAAGAGGCTTTTGAGCTTCGCTATCGGTGGGCTTCTTGGTGATGTATTCCTTCACCTCCTCCCTGAAGCATGGGCGCTCTCTGGTTCTTCAGGTGGGTCATCTTCCCATCGCTGCCACTCCCATTCTATCATCGCTAATTTTGAGTCTGATTTTTGTCATTATTTATCTTTCTTCATTCAAATTATGACCACAGGTCAATTTCAATGACCTCTAATACAGAGGTCCCCAACCTTTTTTGCCCCACGGACCGGTTTCATGTCAGACAATAATTTCAGGGACCGGCCTTTAAGGCCAGATACATACAACAATATAATATGAACCTACATGAAAAGTGTGGTATTTTCGAAACATAATAAACACGAATCATGACAGGAGGAACGTCCTATCTGGCCGCAACCTTCTCTGGTCGCTATGGTAACATTTAAACGTGCCTTCAAAATAAGATACGCCGCAAATAAAAAGTGCATGAAAAATACGACTCACCATTGCCACTTATTATGCGAAGTAGGCTTGGTGCGTGTGAATCTCCCGTTGAGATATAGCCATTTTTGAAATAGGACTCCTGTTACTGTCTATTACATGTAGCCTTCTCTTTCTTGAAAGTCGTAGGCTCCTCTTCTGTCTCCTGGCTGGGCCTTTTCCCCTTCAGAAAAAAAAACTTTTCAAAGACGTTTGTAACGTAATGTAACCAACCTATCACGTGACCGAGAAGCGCGAATTCACCTGAGTCAAGAGTGACATACTGTAGACTGATATAACGGAGAATCCGGTAATTTTTCAAAATAAAACATCTTTCAGATTCTGAAATGAATAAAATGGAAGGAATCTAAGTTATTTATTCTTTCTGTGCGGCCCGGCACCAAATGACCCGCAGATCAGTACTGGTTCGCGGGCCACCGGTTGGGGACCACTGCTCTAATATACAACAATGGCTAATGAAACAGTTCCTGCTCTGTTTCAGTAGCTCCCATGCTTATCGTAGTAGAAACCTGTTGCTACTCTGTTCTTAGAAATCACATTTGCCTTCTTTTTCTCCAGCCACCAGAGAAAAACACTACATGACACAGGGCTTGTGGGTAATCACTGGCCTCCTGGCATTCCTTCTCCTAGAGAAGATGTTCTCAGACCAAGATGGACACAAAGATCCGCCATCACATTCAGACCTGAATTTTAACTCGACTGTAAGTTCTGTAGCTCACCCTTCAATTCATTGCGCATCTCTGTGTGTGTGTGTGTGTGTATATATATATAGAATTTGTTTGGCAGTTTCGAGTGCTTCAGGTATGGTCATCTGGATGTACCTCTCAGGTATCGGCCTTTTC